CTCAGGTACGGATCTAAATAAATCCAATCCTTTCACTTGTTTTAACAAGTTCAGTGGATCAAAAATATTACTACACTATAACCTACAGCATATGAATGCCAATTATGTATAACAAATCATTTATTGGGGCAATTATGATAATAATTTACCACAACTCATAAATTAATTAGTTGCTATGTGTCATTAATTAGCATGTGATGATACTTCTGCATCATTAAATGCCTCCTGCCACCTTTACAGTGTTCTAATAAGCTTAATTGTAAACTAACTGCAAGTATTTTAGAGTTCATTTAGATAGAATGTCATTGTAGCATAAGCCTCTTATTAGTACACCCAGTCATTGGTGGAATAATTGATAAAAATAACCATTATAGTAAACGACAGATGGCATGACATACTGGACACTATACAAACAATGCCAAATAAAAGATTGTGTAAAAAAAAAAAACTTTTTTTTTAAATATTATCAATCATTTATAATTAATGAAATAAAATTCATATATTAAACATACATCAGACAACAACAAATAAATAAAGCTCAGACAACAACAAATAAATAAACTCATAAAAATAAATTAATGTTAATGCAGACAGACGTACAAAACGTGTGGCAGCAGAAAAAATATAATAGGGCAGCTGAAATACTTAAAGGTCTCCACTAAAAGCAATCTAAAAATAAATATAAAATAAACCCAGTCTTCATAAGGTGTAATGTTTAAACATCGCACACTAACATGACAGAACCAATCACCTGTTTGTTAAAGTAACACATTGGGAAATTGGATTGGGGAGGGGGGAGGGTGTTGACAACTGAAACAACATAATTACATGACATTTAATAAGTAAATATAAACAGGCGTATAATCAATTCAGTCTATATTTTAGTTTGCATATGTTTTGAAATCATAGTCAGAAGGGTCATATCATGTCATAACAGTCACACCTCCACATACTGTGATCGTGTGTAAATTGAACACCTATCATGATCTGAACAAACACAGGCACACACACTATTTAACCTAAACAGGGGATGGCAACCGCAACCCACTGGAGACGGATGTTATCAAGATATTTTAAATAGAAATTCTCTTTTTTTTATGGCTAGCTATCAACCCATTTTTACATATCCGCAAGACTTTATGCTACAAGACAAACAGTGGGCCTCTAATTATTACAATGCAAGTAATAAAACGAACATATAGCTGAACATTGTTTACGAGTTAATAGATGGCAGGTATTCGTGATAATGGGAATGTTATTAGCACAGAAACTCATTCTGATGTAATATTAATCGTGACACTTACATCCATCTTGCACAAAGGCTTGTGATAATGTGAAATGGCATGCTGAGATCCCCATATGCATTATCAAATTAAACTCCCCGTTTTGAAACTATCGCAATTGAAAATGGCCAGCCAAGTGCCCAGTGAAGCACACATCCGTGTGTTTTTTTCAATTCTCCATCCACTTGTTGTAACTCTAGTTGTGAGTGAGTATGTTTCTCAGCTTGTCTGTCACTCGAAGTAGCAATACTACTTTATACTATTCTACCTCAAACCAGCCAAGCATACATATAGTGACAAGTTTTCAAAACTACTTGCACAGGATGGTGCAATGAACTACCAGAACAAGTAACACAGGAGTTAAACGTGGAAAAACGATATGTAATATAAAATCAACTTTTACCTCTAATGAATACATTTAGAATAATAATAAACCAGGTAATAAACTATTGTTTTCTATTGATTATCGTTAAAAGTTCCTCGAGACTTTACTAAATTTTTTGTGATTGACGGTTTTAAATTCTTCAGAAAAAAACTGTTGGTATTCAAACTACCGGTATAAGCAGTTTTGGATTATTAATTGTGTGATTTTGCTGATTGTCCAAATTCAAATGGCCACCAAGAAATTGACGAAGACTATAGCAAAATAACAGCAAAAAGTCATTGTTTCCATGGAAACAGGTTCTGGTACCCCCGATTTTAATTTTCTCTATATCACCTATCACTACAAAAAATAACATGAATTTTTAAATTCCCACATTACTAACTGAAATGTTTATTAACAATAGTTTGCAATGAATACAAAAGTAAACCACCACCCACACCCCACACCCCACCCACCACAAACGCCAAAATTACAGAACCAGGTATATTAGCAATGTCAATTCTTAAACAAGTTTCAGCGAACTCAAACAATGGAATTGTTAGATATTAGTCAATTTGATAATCGAAAATAGAAAACACGAAATAGCAAATATTTTAATATAAATTTCTCAGATAATGTAATTTTAATAATATATTTTGAGATTTTTAGTAAAACTAAATTTACTGCTAAAGAAATACAGCAGAGAGAAGTGAAATATTGTAGAATCCAAACTTGCAAATTTAAAATAAAAAACAATATTATTGGTTGATGTTTATTGCATCCGCTGATCACAATTCAATGGTTATCCGGTGATTGACAGGGAGGAAATACAGTCAGGATAAGCTGAGGAAATGAGACTTAGAAAGAAACATGAATAAATAAACTAACCCACGTCTTACAGTTTGTAGCTGTATATGTATTCCTTGAGGGCAAGTTTACCTCGCATAAAAATTTACAATACTTTTTCTTTTATATAGAACATGACAGCGAAGTGCTGTTTTCCAAAGGGTTTATTTTTTTTTTTTTTTTTTGTGCACGTGTGTGTTGAATTCAAACAATCATCTGATGTATTTTTATGTTTACGAATAATAAAAAAAAATGTCCAAACAATCATCGCTAATGAGAAGAGGAATGAAGATTAAATAGTTTTGGTTGAAGTACATGCTGCGAGCAATGTGCCGAGTCCAAAGGGTTAGGGTTAATCCAAGACTGAAATGGTAATGACTACACTATACATCCGTTATTTTACATCTATCCTGTACAGGTCGTGATCTCGACAATCAAAGCCAGATGACAGTGAAATTGTCAAAGTGCTTTGATTGTCATGAAGCAGTCAATAAAGGTGTTCTGCTTTCAGCTGTGATAACTGACGTTCACAGTACATTGTACGAATAAAAAAGATTGCCAGATATGATAGGTTGAAATTATTTGATTTTAATAAATTAGTTAAAAATTAACTTATTTTTTTTAATTTAATTTTTTCAGAATCATTATTT